GTGTGTGTGTGTGTGTGTACTCACCTGGTTGTACTTACCTAGTTGAGGTTGTAGGGGTCGAGTCCAAGCTCCTGGCCCCGCCTCTTCACTGGTCGCTACTAGGTCACTCTCCCTGAACCGTGAGCTTTATCATACCTCTGCTTAAAGCTATGTATGGTCCCTGCCTTCACTACATCGCTTCCCAAACTATTACACTTCCTGACTACTCTGTGGCTGAAGAAATGCTTCCTAACATCCCTGTCTTCAACTTCCAACTGTGTCCCCTTGTTGGTGTGTCCCATCTCTGGAACATCCTGTCTTTGTCCACCTTGTCAATTCCTCTCAGTATTTTGTATGTCGTTACCATGTCCCCCCTATCTCTCCTGTCCTCCAGTGTCGTCAGGTTGATTTCCCTTAACCTCTCCTCGTTGGACATACCTCTTAGCTCTGGGACTAGTCTTGTTACAAACCTTTGCACATTCTCTAGTTTCTCTACGTGCTTGGCTAGGTGTGGGTTCCAAACTGGTGCTGCATACTCCAATATGGGCCTAACGTAGACGGTGTACAGGGTCCTGAGATATTCCTTATTAAGATGTCGGAATGCTGTTCTGAGATTTGCTAGGCGCTTATATGCTGCAGCAGTTATTTGGTTGATGTGCACTTCAGGAGATGTACCTGGTGTTATACTCACCCCAAGATCTTTTTCCTTGAGTGAGGTTTGTAGTCTCTGGCCCTCCTAGACTGTACTCCGTCTGCAGTCTTCTTTGCCCTTCCCCAATCTTCATGACTTTTCAGTTGGTGGGGTTGAACTCCAGGACCCAATTGCTGGACCAGGTCTGCAGCCTGTCCAGATCCCTTTGTAGTTCTGCCTGGTCTTCGATCGAATGAATTCTTCTCATCAACTTCACGTCATCTGCAAACAGGGACACTTCGGAGTCTATTCCTTCCGTCATGTCGTTCACAAATACCAGAAATAGCACTGGTCCTAGGACTGACCCCTGTGGGACCCTGCTGGTCACAGGTGCCCACTCTGACACCTCTCCACGTACCATGACTCGTTGCTGTCTTCCTGACAGGTATTCCCTGATCCATTGTAGTGCTTTCCCTGTTATCCCTGCTTGGTCCTCCAGATTTTGCACTAATCTCTTGTGTTGAACTGTGTCAAACGCCTTCTTGCAGTCCAAGAAAATGCAATCCACCCACCCCTCTCTCTCTTATCTTACTGCTGTCACCATGTCATAGAGCTCCAGTAGGTTTGTGACACAGGATTTCCCATCCCTGAAACCATGTTGGCTGCTGTTGATGAGATCATTCCTTTCTAGGTGTTCCACCACTCTTCTCCTGATAATCTTCTCCATGATTTTGCATACTATACATGTCAGTGACACTGGTCTGTAGTTTAGTGCCTCATGTCTGTCTCCTTTTTTAAAGATTGGGACTATATTTGCTGTCTTCCATGCCTCAGGCAATCTCCCTGTTTAGATAGATGTACTGAACATTGATGTTAGGGGTACACATAGCGCCTCTGCTCCCTCTCTCAGGACCCATGGAGAGATGTTATCTGGCCCCATTACCTTTCAGGTATCTAGATCACTCAGAAGCCTCTTCACTTCTTCCTCGGTTGTGTGTACTGTGTCCAGCACTTGGTGGTGCGCCGCACCTCTCCGTGTTTCTGGAGCTCCTTCTGTCTCCTCTGTGAACACTTCTTTGAATCTCTTGTTGAGTTCCTCACATACTTCACGGTAATTTCTTGTGATCTCTCCTCCTTCCTTCCTTAGCATGATTACCTGGTCTTTGACTGTTGTTTTCCTCCTGATGTGGCTGTATAACAACTTCGGGTCAGATTTGGCTTTCGCTGCTATGCCATTTTCATACTGTCGTTGGGCCTCTCTTCTCATCTGTGTATATTCATTTCTGGCTCTACGTGTGTGTGTGTACTCACCTAGTTGAGGTTGCGGGGGTCGAGTCCGAGCTCCTGGCCCCGCCTCTTCACTGATCGCTACTAGGTCACTCTCCCTGAGCCGTGAGCTTTATCATAACTCTGCTTAAAGCTATGTATGGATCCTGCCTCCACTACATCACTTCCCAAACTATTCAACTTACTGACTACTCTGTGGCTGAAGAAATACTTCCTAACATCCCTGTGTTTCATCTGTGTCTTCAACTTCCAACTGTGTCCCCTTGTTACTGTGTCCAGTCTCTGGAACATCCTGTCTTTGTTCACCTTGTCAATTCCTCTCAGTATTTTGTATGTCGTTATCATTTCCCCCCTATCACTCCTGTCCTCCAGTGTCGTCAGGTTGATTTCCCTTAACCTCTCCTCGTAGGACATACCTCTTAGCTCTGGGACTAGTCTTGTTGCAAACCTTTGCACTTTCTCTAGTTTCTTTACGTGCTTGGCTAGGTGTGGGTTCCAAACTGGTGCCGCATACTCCAATATGGGCCTAACGTACACGGTGTACAGGGTCCTGAATGATTCCTTATTAAGATGTCGGAATGCTGTTCTGAGGTTTGCTAGGCGCCCATATGCTGCAGCAGTTATTTGGTTGATGTGCGCTTCAGGAGATGTGCCTGGTGTTATACTCACCCCAAGATCTTTTTCCTTGAGTGAGGTTTGTAGTCACTGGCCCCCTAGACTGTACTCCGTCTGCGGTCTTCTTTGCCCTTCCCCAATCTTCATGACTTTGCACTTGGTGGGATTGAACTCCAGGAGACAATTGCTGGACCAGGTCTGCAGCCTGTCCAGATCCCTTTGTAGTTCTGCCTGGTCTTCGATCGAGTGAATTCTTCTCATCAACTTCACGTCATCTGCAAACAGGGACACCTCAGAGTCTATTCCTTCCGTCATGTCGTTCACAAATACCAGAAATAGCACTGGTCCTAGGACTGACCCCTGTGGGACCCCGCTGGTCACAGGTGCCCACTCTGACACCTCGCCACGTACCATGACTCGCTGCTGTCTTCCTGTCAAGTATTCCCTGATCCATTGTAGTGCCTTCCCTGTTATCCCTGCTTGGTCCTCCAGTTTTTGCACCAATCTCTTGTGTGGAACTGTGTCAAACGCCTTCTTGCAGTCCAAGAAAATGCAATCCACCCACCCCTCTCTCTCTTGTCTTACTGCTGTCACCATGTCATAGAACTCCAGTAGGTTTGTGACACAGGATTTCCCGTCCCTGAAACCATGTTGGCTGCTGTTGATGAGATCGTTCCTTTCTAGGTGTTCCACCACTCTTCTCCTGATAATCTTCTCCATGATTTTGCATACTATACATGTCAGTGACACTGGTCTGTAGTTTAATGCTTCATGTCTGTCTCCTTTTTTAAAGATTGGGACTACATTTGCTGTCTTCCATGCCTCAGGCAAACTCCCTGTTTCGATAGATGTATTGAATATTGTTGTTAGGGGTACACATAGTGCCTTTGCTCCCTCTCTCAATACCCATGTGTGTGTGTGTGTGTGTGTGTGTGTGTGTGTGTGTGTGTGTGTGTGTGTGTGTGTGTGTGTGTGTGTGTGTGTGTGTGTGTGTATGTGTGTGTATGAGTGTGTATGTGTGTGTGTGTGTGTGTATACACACCTAATTGTACTCACCTAACAGTGGTTGCAGGGGTCGAGACTCAGCTCCTGGCCCTGCCTCTTCACTGATCGCTATTAGGTCTTCTCTCTTCTGTTCCATGAGCTTTATCATACCTCGTCTTAAAGCTATGTATGGTTCCTGCCTCCACTATATCTCTCTCCAGATGGTTCCACTTCCTGATTACTCTATGACTGAAGAAATACTTCCTAATATCCCTTAGACTGATCAAAGTCTTAACTTCCAATTGTAACACCTTGTTTTTGTGTCCCATCTCTGGAACATCCTGTCTCTGTCCACCTTATCTATTCCACCCTCCTGTAATCCATTGTCGTCAGGCCGATTTCCCTTAACCTTTCTTCGTAGGTTATTCCCCTTAGCTTTGGAATTAGTCTTGTTGCAAACCTTTGCACTTTCTCTAATTTCTTGATGTGCTTGACTAGGTGTGGGTTCCAAACTGGTGCTGCATACTCCAGTTTGGGCCTGACGTACACAGTGTATAGAGTCTTGAATGATTCCTTAATAAGGTATCGGAATGCTAGTGTGTGTGAGTGTGTATACTCACCTAATTGTACTTGTACTCGCCTAATTGTGGTTGCAGGAGTCGAGTCTCAGCCCCTGGCCCTGTCTCTTCACTGATGGCTGCTAGGTCCTCTCTCTCTGCTCCCTGAGCTTTGTCATACCTCGTCTTAAAGCTGTATATGGTTTCTGCCTCCACTGCATCACTTGCTAGACTATTCCACTTCCTCACAACCTTATGACTGAAGAAATACTTCCTAACATCCCTTTCACTCGTCTGAGTCTTCAGCTTCCAACTGTGACTTGTTTCTGTGTCCCCTCTCTGGAACATCCTGTCTCTGTCCACCTTATCTATTCCAATATTTTGTATATCGTTATCATGTCTCATGACCCTCCTTTACTCCAGTGTCGTCAGGCCGATTTCCCTCAACCTTTCTTCGTAGGACATTTCCCTGAGCTCCGTGTGTGTGTGTGTGTGTTTGTGTGTGTGAATTTACAATAGAAAGAACAGGGACTGGAACCATGGTCCATTCTTGTTGGGAAGGTCCTGTGTTCTAATCACTTATCCACAGAGATTACAATAGCACTTCTGTGGCATGGTTGTATCAGCATCACTAACTGTGACGCAACTCTCTTCCCCCCAGTCCCAGAAATTTCCTTGACACATCTGTTCTAATACCCTACAAAGCCACAATGTGCATCAACCAATCATAAGCCGCAATGAACTATTTATCTTCGGTTTATGCACTATTACATCCTTATCATATTTGTTAAATGCTTTTGCAAAATCTATGTCCATTACTTCTTCATCCAAGATCATGTAATGGCCTATCAGCTGCAAAAGACAGGAGGACTTGCTGCAGATCCGTGTTCCCTACTGGTGGTCAAGGGCCTTCTGAACGGTGTTGAATTGCCTGTTACATTAATTAGTACTTTATCCCGGTACAGGAATGATCTGGTGGAGTTCATGGGTCATCTGAGCAGCGATGGAATGACAATGCTTCCTCCCAGTCTAACAAGTCTTCACCTGGCTATAGTGAGTGATGACCACGCTCAAAGCCTCCTGCCTATAGATTCAAAATTGTCTCAACTAAACATTCTCAGTGAGTGAACCATTATATCCTGTATCCTTCTATGTTGAGTGATTATGATGTGTGATGGTGTTACTAGCAATGTTATTTGTGAATCGTGTCCTGCTTTTTACTGTGTTGTTAGTGATGGGTTATGTTTTGTTCCTAATTGTATGTGATGTTTGTAGTAATGTTAATGGTGAGCTGAGTTTTGTTTCTTAATGAATTTGGTGGTGGTTGTGGTGGGTTGAATTTTTTTTATGCAGTTTGTGCAAGTAGTGGATTGTGTCTTGTTTTATATAGTGTGTGAGTTTTCCTGTTGCTAGTGGAGGAGTGTCCTGCTGCTTATTATGGCTGAAAATGTTGAGGAGGTGCTAGTGATGGATCTCTCTTACTGTATTGTGTATGGATGTTGAGGATGAATATGGCTTACTTGGGTACTGGACGACAGTAGCGTGAGATACGTTTTGAGTTGTGCTAGTTTGTAACTATTGCCCATTTTATGTTGCACTCTGCGATTATCGAGTCTGATAGTGCTGTGTATATATATATATATATATATATATATATATATATATATATATATATATATATATATATATCTTTCTTTCAACACACCGGCCGTATCCCACCGAGGTGGGGTGGCCCAAAAGGAAAAACAAAAGTTTCTCCTTTCACATTTAGTAATATATACAGGAGAAGGGGTTACTAGCCCCTTGCTCCTGGCATTTTAGTCGCCTCTTACAACACGCATAGCTTACGGAGGAAGAATTCTGTTCCACTTCCCCATGGAGATAAGAGGAAATAAACAAGAACAAGAGCTAGTAAGAAAATAGAAGAAAACCCAGAGGGGTGTGTATACATATGCTTGTACATGTATGTGTAGTGTGACCTAAGTGTAAGTAGAAGTAGCAAGACGTACCTGAAATCTTGCATGTTTATGAGACAGAAAAAAAAGGACACCAGCAATCCTACCATCATGTAAAACAATTACAGGCTTTCGTTTTACACTCACTTGGCAGGACGGTAGTACCTCCCTGGGCGGTTGCTGTCTACCAACCTACTACCTAGAATATATATATATATATATATATATATATATACAGGACAAGCCACGGGGGTGGAAATCTTTAGCTCAAGTACTTTCACACTTCCCAGTACGTCATCAGGAGCTGTGCAATGTTGCAAGGGAGCAACTAAAGCAGGGAGAGAGGTCTCAGAGTAGCGTAGGTGTCACTGGCCACAGTTACCCTTAGTCTAAGGGTAACCGTGGCCAGTTTATATATATATATATATATATATATATATATATATATATATATATATATATATATATATATATATATATATATATATATATATATATATATATATATATATATATATATATGTCGCTGGTGGCCTCTATGATCATGATGTGTATTAGTGTTTCTAGGTGTTAGTGTTTTGATATGTCTTGTTGTTGCTCTGCTGTGTAATCATGGTGTGGGACGGTTTCTGGTGATGCTGTAGGTCAACGGTGAATTTGTGTTCTTTGATGTTTTTTTTATACTTCTACCACTAGAGCTTCCATTTTTGTTGTGCACTCTTTTTTTCTTTTTTTTTACTGTATGATTGTGTTACTGGTTTAGCTGATGCTATACTGTAGTCTGATACTGTATTTTATGCCGTCCCTTACTGTATGATGATGGTGTTAGCTAATTATTAATGAGGATCTGTGTCCTGTCTCTTGCTCTGCGACGATATTTCATTTTGTGCTAATGATATTATATTTCCTGTCTACTGTAACATGGTGTTGCTGTTTGAGCTAGTGGTGTTCTGAAGCATGTCTACTACTCCATGATAAAGGGATAAAAGGAAAAGTGGGTAGATGGACCTATAACTTTTTAACAAATACAACAGAAAGAGTAATAGTAAACAGATTAAAGTCACAGCCGTCTACAGTGAAAAGCTCTGTTTCACTCCCATCCTTTTCCTCATCCTCATATCTGACATAGAGATTTAAGCCACAGCCCCGTGTCCTCCTTTGCTGATGATACCAGAACTTGCATGACAGTGTCATCCATCGAGGACACTGCAAATCTTCAAGCTGACATTAACCAAGTCTTTAAAATGGGCCTCAGAAAAAAATATGAAGTTCAATGAAGATTAGTTTCAATTACTCAGGTATGGAAAACTCGAGGAAATAAAAACTGGATTGGAGTATAAAACAAATTCCAACCACAAATAGAACGAAAACTAATGTAAAGAACCTGAAAGTGATAACGTCAGAGAATCACACTTTCAAAGATCGCAACACTGTCTCTACCATATCTGTTAGGGAATTAAAAGACAATGAGAACTTTCAGAACTAGCGATGTCAAGCCAACGACGATTCTCTTCAAATCGCTTGTTCACTCTAGGCTGGAATTTTGCTGCTCACTAACAGCACTTTTCAGGGCAGGCGAAATTGCAGACCTGAAGAATATACAGACAACTTCCACTGCATGTATAAGTACTCGCTGGTGCGCAGGCGAATATGAGACATGATAATATACACTTTGAAATCTTTGAGACTAGTCCCAAATCTGCTCACGAAAATAACTCCCAACGAAAGCAATAGACTCGGCAGGCGGTGCAACATCCTCCCAATGAAAAACAGGAGCGCCATTAGTACGCTAAGAGACAACACAGTAGGTATCAGGGTCCAAGACTGTTCAACTGCATCCCAGCTCCTAAGAAGGAGCTGGGCAGGCACCTAAAGTCAGTACCTAACCAGCTAGACTTTGATTCGTACGACGGTTTGTGAGTGGCCGACAGTAACAGCCTGGTTGATCCACTGCAATCCCTGGTCATGGACCGGGCAGCGGTGACGGTGACTCCCGGAACTCCCTCCAGATACACTCCTTGATCATAACATATGTTCTTGCTGATAATTCTAGTGAGGTGTGTACTTTTAATGTGTAGTATAAAGTTTTTAAGGCAGGAGCGAATGTTTGCCTTTCAGTGGTTTTGCAGATTTGCACACAAGTTATGTTAGAGTAATTTTAATAACCCTTTCAGGATCCAGTCCCCGATCCAAAACTTGTCCACAGCGTCCAAGAATTTTCAAATGTCTGAGACCCATGTGAGGTCTGAATCTAATGCAGAGAATTAGTGATTTGGAAATTATTAGGAGTTGCGGAATTACCAAAACTAATATCCAGAGGGCTGAGGAGGGGTTGTCGAGGTGGTTTGGACATACAGAGAGGAAGGAACAAAACAGAATGACTTCGAGAGTGTATAAATCTGTAGAGGAGGGAAGGCGGGGTAGGGGTCAGCCTAGGAAAGGTTGGAGGGAGGGGGTAAAGGAGGTTTTCTATGTGAGAGGTTGGACTTTCAGCAAGCATGTGTGAACGTGTTAGATAGGAGTGAATGGAGACAAATGGTTTTTAGGACTTTACGTACTGTTGGAGTTTGAACAAGGTAACATGAAGGGATTCAAGGAAACCAGCAGGCTGGACTTGAGTCCTGGAGATGGGAAGTACAGTGTCTGCACTCTGAAGGAGGGGTGTTAATGTTGCAGTTTTATAACTGTGGTGTAAGGGTGCTTCTGTCAAGACTGTGATGGAGTGAATAATGATGAAAGTTCTTCTTTTTCGGGCCACCCTGCCTTGGTGGGAGACGGCCGATGGGGAAGTGGAACAGAATTCTTCCTCCGTAAGCCATGCGTGTCGAAAGAGGCGACTAAAGTGCCGGGAGCAAGGGGCTAGTAACCCCTTCTCCTGTATATATTACTAAATTTAAAAGGAGAAACTTTCGTTTTTCCTTTTGGGCCACCCCGCCTCGGTGGGCCACCCTGCCTCGGTGGGCCACCCTGCCTCGGTGGGCCACCCTGCCTCGGTGGGCCACCCTGCCTCGGTGGGCCACCCTGCCTCGGTGGGCCACCCTGCCTCGGTGGGCCACCCTGCCTCGGTGGGCCACCCTGCCTCGGTGGGCCACCCTGCCTCGGTGGGCCACCCTGCCTCGGTGGGCCACCCTGCCTCGGTGGGCCACCCCGCCTCAGTGGGGTTCGGCTGGTACGTTGAAAGAAAGATATATATATATGTGTGTGTGTGTGTGTGTGTGTGTGTGTGTGTGTGTGTGTGTGTGTGTGTGTGTGTGTGTGTGTGTGTGTGTGTGTGTGTGTGTGTGTGTGTATGTGTGTGTGTGTGTGTGTATGTGTGTGTGTGCGCGCGTGTGTGTGTACTCACCTAGTTGTGGTTGCAGGGGTCGAGTCATAGCTCCTGGCTCACCTATTCACTGGTCGCTACTGGGTCACTCTCCCTGAACCATGAGCTTCATCATACCTCTGCTATGTATGGATCCTGCCTCCACTACTTCGCTTCCCAAACTATTCCACTTACTGACTACTCTGTGGCTGAAGAAATACTTCCTAACATCCCTGTGATTTATCTGTGTCTTCAACTTACAACTGTGTCCCCTTGTTTGTGTCCCATCTCTGGAACATCCTGTCTTTGTGTGGGTGTGTGAGCACACACACACACACACACACACACACACACACACACACACACACACACACACACACACACACACACACACACACACACACACAGGGGGGTGCACCAGCAAGTGCTGGATGAGGTACATATAACCAAGGAGGAGGTGAAGAAGCTGCTATGCGAACTTGACACCTCAAAGGCGGTGGGACCAGACAACATCTCTCCGTGGGTCCTTAAAGAGGGAGCAGAGATATTGTGTGAACCGTTAACAAAGATCTTCAACACATCATTTGAAACTGGGCAACTCCCCGAGGTATGGAAGATGGCAAACGTAGTCCCAATTTTTAAAAAGGGAGACAGACATGAGGCACTAAACTACAGACCTGTATCACTAACGTGTATAGTATGCAAGGTCATGGAGAAGATCATCAGGAGGAGAGTGGTGGAGCACCTGGAAAGAAACAAGTGTATAATTGACAACCAGCATGGTTTCAGGGAGGGAAAATCCTGTGTCACAAACCTACTAGAGTTTTGTGACAAGGTGACAGAAGTAAGACAAGAGAGAGAGGG